TTTTGAGACAGGGTTTCTCTGTAGCTTTGGCGCCTTTCCTGGAACTCTCTCTGTAGCCCAGGCTGGCCTCGAACTCACAGAGATCCGCCTGCCTCTGCCTCCCGAGTGCTGGGATTACAGGTGTGCCCACCACCACCTGTCCCCTGTAAGTGTAATATTAAGTGTGATCCTGTTCTCTGAAGCCATTTGACTGATGGCATCCAGCTGGATAGACACTCTTTTAAGGACATCCTTGGCATAATTGATAAATCCTTACTTATTAATTTAAAATTTTTAAATTTATATGTATATTGCCTGCTTTGTCCTTACTGCACCGTCTGTGTATCTGTTGTCCACAGAGGTCAGAAGAGGGTGTCTGACCTGTGAGAATGGAGTTACAGGCGGTTGTGAACCACCATGTGGGTGCTGGGAACCAAACCCAGGTCCTCTGGAAGAATAGCCAGTGTTTGTAACTACTGAACCATCTCTCCAGCCCTCATCAGATTTATAACAAGTGGTGATGAGGCTTTTAGTTACACTAGTCACAGAGCTAATAGGAAAAGAATGTTAAACTTTTTTTTTAACCTGAAAACTATTCTGTACAATTTTACTTTACTTTTTTTTTTTTTTTTAAATAACATACCTTAGATTCCAAAAGTTAAGCAAACCAGGGATACCATCAGGAAATGGGGAACCTTGAGGCTAGATTGGTTCAATCATTCTTCTTTCTGAATTCTGGACTAGAAGTATTCTTTCAGTTAGAGGCTTTTGTTTCACAATAACACAAGCAAATGATATGCAGCATTGATCACAAGACAGACGAACTGAGACAGCTCTGTCCTTTATGTAATGAGGTTACAAGTCCTCTTTAGGATTGACTTCTAAAGCCCCTGGATGACTCCCACGTTTCTCTCTGAGCTTCCCTTTTGGTACGGGAGCCTCTGTGGTCGGCTTCTCGAGTGGGGACTAGTTGATCCCTGCTCTTGAGCAGCCTGTACAAGTTGTGTGGCAGCCAGGAGTGTTTGTGAAGGACTCTCAGGTGTGCTGTCGTCTCTGCAGGTTTTCATCAGCACCACATCCTTAGACTAGAGCTCCTGACCTGCAAACCCACAGGTGTGCCTGTCATTTTGTGCTTAGGATACTCAGCCATGCACAGCACATTGAGCTTTAAAGCCACCTGAAATAGGTCTTGACTTTGTAGTTTTTCCTACCAGCTCAGTTCCAGTTAGGCTGCTTTGTAGTAAACAAATAGTAATGTGTTTGTGGGGCACCACATGACAGTGGCATGGCTGTCACCTCGGGCATTTACTGTTTCTTTGTATATCTTAGCCTTGTCTCTTAACTGGAACACAGAGGTGGTGACTGTGCTGTAAGGACAGTGGCAGTTACCTTCCTGTCCATCTGCATCTCTGTAGTGCAGCTGGTGACCATCCTCCACATCCCTCTGTCCCCTCAGATCTTTATTTTCTACTTTGGGATTTTGAGGTAATTGCTTTTTAAATTTTATGTTGTTTGATTATATTATAAAAGTCAAGCATTTATTTCTAAAGTCAAATCTACACATAAGGATATTCAGAGAGATTTAGATCGTATCTCAGCACATTCTACTGCACTTCTTCCTACAGAGGTCATTCTCTTCAGTGTGGCTTCCTATTTACAGTATAACAATAATAGATGAGACTCCAGGTCTCTTGACTTCCCAGGCTTGGTGTTTTGTAGATGGAATAATTTTTTAAAGTGTGTGGGTGTTTCCCCTGCTTGTATTTCTGTGTACTATGTTCTTACCTTATTCTCTTGGAGACCAGAAGAGGGTGTCAGATTGCCTGGCACTGGAGTTACAAATGATTGTGAGCCACTACGTGAGTGCTGGGAATTGAACCCCTGTCCCCTGCAAGAATAAATGCTCTCAACTGCCGAGCCATCTCTAGTCCCACAGATGGAATAACTTAAAGTTTTACTTGCAGGATCTCATTTTGTCATGTAAGCGGCCTTTGATGGGTCTGGTTGTGTTTGTATCATGTGGCTTTACCTCTCCTTTTGCACACTTCCACAGTGCTCAGTGGATTTTTGTTAGGGCACCTTTCATTTTTTTTCTCAGTCCTGCCTATTGAACCCAGGACTTCACACATTTGAGGCAATGGCTCTATCACTGAAGTGTAGTACCAGTTAGGGCAATTTAATCTTCATAATCAGAAGCTCTCTGCAGCAACTAGCAAAGTGCCAGACACAGCAAACACTGAATATATGCTGAGAAAATGAACAACAACTTAATAGTATACTTGGAGTGGGGTGGGAGGGTAGGTTTTGCTGTGTGTGGCTAGAGCATTTGCTCTTCAAAGAGAACACAGCTGCTCCAGGCTTCTCTTGGGTCAAGACATTTTGTGTTTTGTTTGCTGTGTAGTCTAGTCTCCTACCTCTGCCTGACAAGTGCTGGAACTACAGATGTGTGCCATCATACCCAGCAGGATCAGGACCCTTTAATCACCTCAGTAATCCTGGGTCTTTTTTGGTATTGGGTATGAGAGGGCTGAACCAAAGAACAGTAGGTTACATGTAGGCCTGGTGGTCAGATTTCCCTTTCTCACTTCTGTGTCCAGGCTGCTCATCTGTAAAGTGGAGGAGGGGAGTGCATTATAGGCTGCAAGGACCTAAGGCAGCCCCAGCTGCAGAGTAGAGTGTTCTGTAACAGTTATTATTAGTACTTTGAGCAAAGCGGAAGGTGAGACCTTGAAGTTGTAAGCATTGGACATCTGTATTGGGGTTACAAGGCTACGCCCACGTTTGCAGATTTGCTAGAAAGGCCTTCAGGACTCAGCAGATGGTGTCCTCCTAGCTGTTTAGGACAGTAATGTAGTAGGCGGGATTACAAAGGGAAAAGACACAGAGTAGTCTTGAGGCTTCCTTCTCTAGCACCAAGATGCAACAATGTGTTTAATGTTTTGGCTAGCAACCTGTTAGAGACTTGGTGCTGGAGGTTTCTCTAGAAGCTGGTCCCACAGCACCCTCTATTTAACATGTAAGTTTTGTACCTCCATGAAGAAAATCATCCTTCACAGAGGTTACGTGATATTTGTTATGATTTGGGCACAGGAAACTTCCTTTACCAGGACTAGGATAGTCAAGGGCCCTCATGTGAGCAGCAGCCTCTAGCCTTTGCTGTCCGTTTCTTTGTGCATACGCTGTTGCACTCTTCACTGCAGTCCTGGGTCATGGTTATTCTGTACTGGTTGTAGAGTTTCTGTGAGAGATCCAGGGGCCCTCATCTCTGCTATTCTTCTTTTCCAGAATGGCTTTGATTATTTACTGACATACAGTGACAATCCCCAGACAGTGTTTCCTCGCTACTGCGTCAGTTGGATGGTTTCCAGTGGTAAGTAGGAGTATGCATAGGGGGCCTGAACCTGAGCTGAACCATTTGTTTTTCTGTCTTAATAATGGCAACAGGAGGGTTGGTACTTACATTTTGTAGTCATGTTGGGGGAGATTTGAACAGTCTTCCCATTTTATCATAGCCTCTAAGTGGGATTTGAAGGGTTAAGCACAGGAGTTCCAGGAAGGATTCTTTCTATCCAGAGGAGTTTTTAAGACACTCATTTATATGCCTTACATATAGATGTGCGTATTAATGTATTTACAGTAGTCCTGAATGGCTAGGTTGGTGGTGTACACATTTGTAATCTCAGTAATGTGTACAGGAGCTGAATCAGGAGGATCAAGGCCAGCCTAGGTGACATCTGGTAAAGCCAAAGTGTTGAAGGATATGAGATCTGGCCAAGAATACTTAGTTGTGGGGGAGTTACCTAGGGAAATGGCTATAACCTAAAAGGCTGCATGTCATAGTTGTAATCACACCTCCCACTTTTTAAAACCTTGTCTTAGAAATCATTCTCACATGAGTTTCATTGTTTTGGTTTGGAAATTTCTTTTGTATTGTTTTTGAGAAGATCTTGTGTAACCCAGGCTGGCTTTAAACTCTTTTTTTTCCCCCCTGTTTTTTGAGACAGGTTTTCTCGGTGAAACAGTCCTGGCTATCCTGGAACTCACTCTGTAGACCAGGCTGGCATCAAACTCAGAGAAATCCGCCTGTCTCTGCTTCTTGAGTGCTGGGATTAAAGGGGTGTGCCACCACCGCCCGGCTTGGCTGTAAACTCTAGGTCCTCCTACTCCAACATCTCAGTGCTATAATTATGGGTGTACGATACCATGCCTGACTCCTCATGTAGTTTACTTCCTTTTGATGCTCTAGCGTTTCCTTGCCCTCGGGAGGGGGATGGGAATTAGATATGTCTGTGTTCATTTATCTGAGTTAAGTGACAGTTGTTGTGACTTTGTCACTAAGTGGTATTTTAATCACCTAAAAGAGACAGTTGGGGATTCAGTGGCCTGATGAAAAGATCAGAGTTGTGGTAGCTTTCACAACCTCTGCAGAGGGAAGCATTCTGGGAGGCAGATGTCACTCATGGATTTTCATTCAGGCTGTTGTTTGCTTACCATTAGAGAGAATGAGCTCTGTTTTTAAGCCTGTTATTAGCTTGTATGGCAACTGTTCTAGTTTGCTTTCTGTTGCTCTAATGAACACTGTGAACTCCCCCCCCCCCAAAAAAAAAAAAAAGCAACTTGGGGAGGAAAAGGTTTATTTCACATTACAGCTTATGTCCATCATGAAAGGAAGTCAGGGCAGCAACTGAAGTGGAGGCCATAGAGGAACATTGCTTACTGGCGTGCTCTTCATGGTTTGCTCAGCCTGCTATTTTGTACAACCTAGGACCACCTGACTACGTAGGTATAGTACTGCGGTGGGCTGGGCCCTCCCACATCAGTCATTAACGAGAAAATGCCCCCACATACTTTCCTAGAGGCCAGTCTTACAGAGACATTTTCTCCACTGAGGTTCCCCTTTCCCAGATGACTCTAGCTTGTGTTAGGTTGTCGAAAAACTAACCGTCACAGCAGCTTGACCACATTCTTCTGTGTCCTCACAGGCATGCCAGATTTCCTGGAGAAGCTGCACATGGCCACTCTGAAAGCCAAGAACATGGAGATCAAAGTGAAGGACTATATCTCGGCTAAGCCTCTGGAAATGAGCAGTGAGGCCAAGGCCACTGCTCCGTCCTCTGAGCGGAAGAGTGAGGGTAGCCGTGGCCCAGCTCGGATTGAGTATGCTTAAGGGCCTTTGGGATAAAGGAGAGACGGGCACTTCCGGTCCTGCCTTGCTCCCTCAGCTCTGCTTCAGGACAGGGACGCGTCACATGTATTGGAAGACATCTGCTGTAACTGTCAGTGGGAGAGAATTAGAACTGGAGTTAGATTTCATTCGGAGCCCTGTTGCTCTTTACCAAACAGAGAGGGCCATGACATCATGGAGTCGTCGTGTGCTCAGGCCAACTATTGTGAAATCCGGTATTATGCTGAGCTAATCTGGAGCAAACCTCTCACTTTAGGCCAGAAGGGGATGACTCCCATCTGCCTCCTCCGAGAAGCTTCCTTGCTGACATTCCAGATGCCACCGTTGATTGTGCAGCGCTCTGGATATCCTTCGGTTCTCTAGGTCACTGGGAACTGGTTGGCCCTGGGCTCTCACTAAGGGTCACGAGGAGTGCTCTTGGTAACAATCCTTTGGTGACGTGAACACTGGCTGAGCTAAGTGCCTTGTCCTCACCTCGCTTTATCATTAGAGACATGAAGTTTGTACCAAGGGATCCTTACCCCTGCAAAATACCGTGACACCGACTCACCCGACTCAAAGCAGTTTCCATCCTAACTGGCCCTCGGTGTTGATGGGCTGTGCTCGTTGGACCGTGGCCTCTGCCATAGCCTTAGCCCATTTGCCAGGAGCACCAGAGACAGACCCCTTTAGACAGGAGCTTCCTGTTGATGCCGCCAGTGTTTGATAGGGTCAGTGGAAGTGTGCACAAAACTTCTCACTTCAGAAGAACTAGATTTCTTTTTAACCCTGTAGCAAAGTGGAGTTGCAGATGAGAGCACAGCTCCTTCGTAGTCTTACTTGTTCAGGCGCTATTTTCCCGCTGCAGGTCGACTGGGCCTTCCTGGAGGGCTCAAGGTAGTGGATGGTGGTTGCATTTCCTCAGAACTTTCAAAATTGAAAGCTGCCATGTGGGCCAGCAGATGAAGTCTTGCCCCATACCAATATGGTAGTGATGTGGCTTATGTGACCCTCTTGACCCTCTAAAGCGTTTCTCTCCAGAGCTGACACAGAAGTAAGGCGCACAGTTTGGATAAATAAGATCACAACCAGATGATAGGGACCTGGCCTTGCTGGTTTCTTTATTGTGAATAGGGATCAAGTTTTAAATTTTAACCCCCCCCCCCTTTTTTTTTCTGGAGTTTATATAGCTGCATTTTTCTTTTTCCTTTTTTTCCTGCTTGCTTCCCTGTTGTGGTGTTGAAAAAGGAAACTAAACCCAAGGTGAACTTAACCCTTTTTAAAAAAAGTGTTCTTGTTGCCTACTCAGTTCTGTGCCAAGGAAACCACTAACTCCCCCAATGTTCTGTGTCTTCTCAATTGTTGGCAGAGTAGAGAGATGCATTGAGCAGTCCCAGTGTCTTTCAGTGAGCATTTCTCCCTTCTCCCCAGACCTGACGGAAACCTTTTCTCTGAATTTAGCACCTGTAGCTGAATGTGTGTAAGTGTGTGTGTACGCGCGTGTGCGCGTGCGTGTGCGCACACTGGGCTGCAGGGACTAAGCAGTTGTGGTTGCCCTTTGTTCTGACTTAACGGTGATTTGACTCTGTGCAGTTACTTGGTCATTATAATGAGTTTGCTCCTAACTGTGACGTTTTTATCAGATGTGTGAATAAATGCATAAAGATTGGTACAGAAGAGTGTTTGTTTGGACACACAGTGGGGAAATTGTGCGTGTTGGGCTCTTTGTCATCCTGATCACAAAGTTGGCCTAGGGCATTGGTGAGCCTTGTTCTTTCTTGGCAGGTTGTGGTGATACAAAGTTAGCCTCCTTGCAAAGACTGTGGCCCCTAGTGGCCAGCTTGGGAACTGCTATCCCTCCTTTGACTCTAGCCTACGCTTCATCTTTTTCATCTTTATCACCGTACCCCTCCTGCTCTCTTCCTCTGGCCAGAGAGTAGGAGGCAGGCCATGGGCTCCTGCCAGCCAGTTACAGGCTTCCTCAGAATACCCATTGGTACGTATGAAACGGCCACTGATTTGGTTTTTCATAGTTTTTGAGCCCATTTTTCCGTAAGTCCTGTAGGTTTGTGTTTGAGTGTTTTATCCACTTATTTATTTACCCATTTGTTTATTTTATATGTGTGTTGGCTAGTTTTGTCAACTTGACAAGGGCTAAGAGTTATCAGAGTTGATTCTCAATTAAGAAAATGCCTCCATAACATCAGGCTATTAATTGATGTGGGAGGAGCCCTAAGCCGATGGTTCTGGGTTCTATATAAGAAAGCAGAGGGCTGGAGAGATGGCTCCATGGTTAAGAGCACTGGCTGCTCTTCCAGAGGTTCTGAGTTCAATTCCCAGCAACCACTTGGTAGCTCACAACCATTTATAGTGGGATCTGATGCCCTCCTCTGGCATAAAGTCATATATGCAGATAGAGCCCTCATATACATAAAATAAATAAATCTCAAGTGTAGCACGAATCTTAAAAGGTCTTATTAATAAAATCAAACCTGGTCCCATTTATTGGGGTAAATGCTGGAAGCTCAGAGAAGCAGAACAAGCCACAGCCACCTCACCTCACCAGTTCCTCAGCTGATCCTGTTTCCTCAGACTGGAAGCCTCTGAGTCCTTATCCAAATGGACTCAGCTGAACTGTGCTGCTCAAAAGCCTAAAAGCTTAACCAGCCTCTAGTTCCTGGTTTTCATGCTTTATATACGTTTCTGCTTTCTGCCATCACTTCCTGGGATTAAAGGCGTGAGTCACCATGCCTGGCTGTTTCCAGTGTGGCTTTGAACTCACTGAGATCCAGGTGGATCTCTGCCTCCCAAGTGATAGGATTAAAGGTGTGTGTGCCACCATTTTCTGGCCTCTGTGTCTGTCTAGTGGCTGTTCTGTTCTCTGACCCCAGATAAGTTTAATTAGTATGCACAATATATTGGGGGACACAATATCATACTCGAGAGAGAAAGCAGGAGGAACAAGCCAATAAGCAGCACCCCTCCACAGCATCTGCATCAGCTCCTGCCTCCAGCTTCCTGTTTGTTTGAGTTCCTGCCCTGATTCCTTCAATGATGGAACAAAGAAGGAGAAGTGTAAGCAGAGTTAACCCTTTCCTCTTCAACTTGCTCTTGGTCATGGTGTTTCATCACAGCAGTAGTAACCCTAATCAGGACATGTGTGTGCACCTCTGCATGATGTTCCAGCAGCACTTTCCTCAAATTGAAGGACCATGGGCTAAGAATCCAGAGAGCCACATGCACTTACTCAGCCATAATTCAAAAAAGATGGCTATAGGTCAAGTGTTAGTATGAGCTTTTTACTTTGAAAATTTTAATGTGTGTTTAAGGGTTGGAAGAATTTTTAGAATTACTTTGTATCTAATGGTTGTAGCTCAGTTGGTAGAGTGCTTGTCTAACATGGATGAAGCCTTGGGTGTGATCCTCAGCATTGCCCAATATTTACCCCAGATTACAGGTGGAGGCAGGAAAACCAGAAGTTCAAGGTCACCCTTGGCTACATAATAAGTAAAAGGCCAGCCTAGTATACTCGAGACTTTGTTGCTTCTATCATGGTTGTGATGAAATTAAAAAAAAAAACAAAACAAGCAATTTGAGGAAAGGAGAGTTTATTCTGCCTTACGGTTTGAGGGGGTGCATTTGCCTGGCCACGGAAGGCATGGTGGCAGGACAAAGAGGCCTGCTGGCTGGGTTGCCTCCCCAGTCAAAGCACACAATGAACAGGAAATGGGGCTAGCCTGTAAAACCTCAAGGCCCTCCCCTAGTCCCACTTCCTCCAGTGGGTATGTGCCTCCTAAAGGTACCATAGCCTTCCCAAACAGCACCACCAGCTGGTGACCAAGTGTTCAAACACCGCTGTGGAGGACATTGCACGTTCAAACCACCCCTCACTTCAGAAACCTTGAATCACTCTTCCCTTAGGCTAGCAAGCTGCTGGGAGTCCTTTCTCTGCATACACTTTCCCAGGACCATTTGAGAACAAGTAGCAAGTACACCCCCCACACATAAGAGCATGCTTTCTCTTAATTCTGTTCCCGAGTGCTGGGATTAAAGGTGTGCCCCTCTGTCTGCTATCTCCTGCTGGTTTCTAAGGATCAAAGTCAGGTCAGGAGACTTGCACAGGAAGTGCCTTTACCTGCTGAACCATCTTTCGGGCCCAAGAGTGTCACACCTGATAATGCAGCTCTTACTAAAATTTCCCTATTTGACTCCCAAATGACTCTCAGTTCCCAATGCCCTCTAACTATTATGTATTGCACAAGCCCCAGAGCCGGATATCATAGTAAACGCTGAAAGATCAGAGGAAACAAGCCCTGGCCACTCAGCTCTCCAGCTCCTCAGCCGAAAGGGGAAGACCCTGTCTCCACGAATCCTCGGACTGAGTGCCCCTGAGTCCTCAGCCAAAAGAACTGAGCTCCTGTCTCCTCCCGCCTTATATGCCTTTCTCCGTCCAGCCACATCACTTCCTGTCTCATCTTTTCTAATGCTGGGATTAAAGGTGTGTGTGCCACCACTGCCTGGCTTTCTCTTTTAGACTTCGTTAATCTTGTATACTCCGGGGTGACTTTGAACTCACAGAGATCCACATGGATCTCCCAAATGCTAGGATTAGAGGTGTGTGCCACCACTGCCTGGCCTGTGTTTTATCTAGTGGCTGGCTCTGTCCTCTGATCTTGAGGCAAATTTTATTTGTTAGAGAACAAACAATATCACCACAACTATGTATTACATTTGTCTTTTTACCCATTAAAAAATTTGGCATTTATTGTGGTGGTGGAGGTTGTAGGTGGAGTTTTTCATTGGGACTGTCAGCCAACTCCCAAATAACCATGCAGAGACTTACTATTACAAAAGCTCAGCCGATAGCTTAGGCTTGGTTTTAACTAGCTCGTATAACTTGAATTAACCCATTTTTATTAATCTATGTGCTTCCCTGAGGATCATTTACCTAGCTCATGTACGTACTTCTCACCCTGCTTGCTCTGCATCTCATGGCGTCGTCCTCTCCAGCTTTCTCTCTGCCTGCAAATCCTGCCTAGCCATCGGCCAATCAGCTTTTTATTAACAATGAGAGGAACACACCTTCACAGTGTGCAGAAGAATTATTCCACACCAGGGGGTCATATGTCCCACAGCATGCATGTGGAAGACAACTTGCAGGAATCAGTTCCTCAATCGTGGGTTATCAGGCTTGGAGGCAAGAGCTTTTACCCACTGAGCCAGCTAGCCAGCCGAACTTCACCCATTTTTAATCTAGAACAGTTGCCTACCCTTTGTAATCTAACATCACTTCAAACTTGGGTGCACCTGCTAATGTTTCCAAACTCCCAGAGCCTAGGCATTTATCTCCATCCTGCCCCCAACCATCAGCATCTGGGGTGAGTTCACTGTAGCACCTGGTATTCTATTGTAGCGTGCCCTGAAAGGCAAAGGCAGAGCCCTCCCTAGACTGTGCACTTCCATAGTAATGTCACACTGGTGCCTTACAGTAAATTCAGAGTTGGCCAACATCAGTCATCTCTAAGCACCTGGTGTGCCAGCACTGTGCTTCATGCGTTATTCTAAGTCTAGTGTGCCACTAGCCCTGTTCTACAGATGAAGAACCACCCTCAGGTTATGCAATGAATTGTCTTGCTCAAGGCCACACAGGAAATAGTGATGGAGGCAGGTCACTGACCTGACAACACAGACGTCTGGTGGCAGAGCTTAAGTTTAGATTCCTTTCCCTGGTGCTCTGACTTGTTCTAAGGCATCCACTGTAGCTGTTCTTTTTAACACCTACAATATTCCACCCAGGACAATGGCTTGAGGTTGCCCATGAGGTCATCTGTATGCTATTTCTGTGTCTGAAGCACTGGAAGTCACTTCTCATAAAAACCTCGAATACACATACCTTTAAGAGATGGGTGGAGGGCACTCTAGGGACCGTCTTAAAATACCATTTTGGAGCCCAGTCGTGGTGACATGCCTTTAATCCTGGTATTCACTCTGGAGGCAGAGGCAGGTAGAATTCTGAGACTTTGAGGCCAGTGTGGTCTACATAATGAGTTCCAGGCCAGCCAGGACTGTCCAGTGATTAAAATACAACATAAAATTTGTTTAGGGCTGGAGAGATGGCTCAGAGGTTAAGAACACTGGTTGTTCTTCCAGAGGTTCTGAGTTCAATTCCCAGAGACCACGTGATGGCTCACAGCCATCTGTAATGAGATCTGGTGCCCTCTCCTGGCATGCAGGCATACATGGAAGCAGAATGTTGTATACATAATAAATAAATAAATCTCTTTAAAAATTTTGTTTATTTCTGCTTTATTTTGAGACAGATCTATCCACCTAGCCCTAGATGGTCTGGAACTCACTGTGTAGACCAGGCTAGCCTTGAACGTTTAGCAGTCCTGCCTCTGCCTCCTGGGTGCTGGTTGGTCCTACAGGTGTGCACCAGTGTGCCCACTAACACTTTCTGAAAGCCTTTTTGTTTCAAAGTGTCTAGTTCTGTCCTTAGCAGGGTAGGGTCCAGATAGTGAAAGTAGAAAAATCTAAGATCTGTTATTCCCAATGAAAGTCTTAAAAAATGAATATGTGGATAAAAGTGGTCTTAATGCAAGACATTCCATTCCCACAAACCTCAGCAGCTGCCGAGTGTATCAGCAAGCAGAGCTCCCAGCTGTGTACTGT